AAATATTTTTGCTGCCATATTTTGACTCTTAAAGCCTGCCTTTTGCAGCTCAGATTGATTTAAAGCACTTTGCTTTAAATGCTTAAGCTTGCACATTTACCAAAATGAGCTCATAGCTTCATCTAAGCCTGCTTACTCAAGGAGATTTACATTTTTTCTGAACATTTATAAACATCTTAGAACAGTTTCTAAACAGAGATGTGATGTGGTTTCCTCTTATCTTCCTAGCAGTATCTGCATATTAAAAGAAGAACTGGGAGAAGGTAGTGATAACCAAAAAGAAATCAGTGGAATTTGGGGGCAGGTGTTGGTGTCCTAGAGAGATGTGACTGGGAGAGGCTTTTCTACAACTCAAACCACACCACTGAGGTAGCCCTTTACTCCTCCTGGTTTGTAACCAATATTACAGTTTCTCCTATGCATGCCAATTTTGCAAGGTTTTCTACTCATAGCTGGGCTGAGTCACAAACTCAGAAAACTGAACATGACCAAATAGAAGCTAAAATGAAACAAAACCGACAGCACTAATTAGGCGCATTTAATTATATACAAGGCTAATGTAGTGCTTCATGATAAATCAGCACAAAGGGATTCCCTATCCCCCCATACCAGAAACAATTTATATTTTCACATAGTCAAATTAAATATTCTGGGGTCAGCTTGGGGGAAGGATGGTATGGAATGGGAGAAGCCCCTCTTTCTGCAAGAGGAGAGAGTCAGTTACTGCTCAGTCTATATTTTTGCAAAGAAATTTTGCCTTCTTAAGTAGTGTCAAAACTCAGAACCACTGATGTTGGGTTGGAACAAGGGCCTCTTGGTGGGGAGGGGCAGCTGGACCACATAGACCTGAGGTTCTCTCTGTTTTTGAGGTGCACCTTTCCTCAGCATTTCTCCTTGGTTACCACTGCCGATGTCTACCATGCTGGACTTGGGGGAACTCTGCTTCCCCTTTGACACATAGCCAAGATAAGCTGAAACCTTTAGACACATCTTTATTAAAGACTAGGGAAAGCAAAAGGGAAACTTAAAAAAAAGAGTACCAGGAATCTGTCTTCTAAGATACAGTTTATGCGCCTTTATTTGCCTCCTTTCTTAGTATCTGGCCTGTCTGGATGCCATCCTAGCATGTCACTCAGGTGACTGTACTTGTCCGTCTACCTCCCTTAAGGTGGAGCCAGGTCCCTGAGAGATTAGGGAATCTTCCCACTGGCCTGAGACCCACCTCATCAGATCAGATCTGGAGTCCTGTCTACACGTCCACCTTTCCCTGATAATTAACACCAAATTCAAGTTCTCCTTTATGTAGTTCCCTCCACCCCTCACACCCCCATCCCTGAGTCTGGTCCTGACTGCTTCTTAGAGGATGAGGTCGTTGTCACTTAAGTCCTATCTGGCCTCCTTTCCTTGTTCCGCCTGAAGGAGGGAGGGAGGGAAGTATGACCCAGGCTGGCTCCCTGGAGAACCTAAAGCTAGGATGGCCATATGTTGTGCAGAAATGAATGTTCCTAGAGAGTGTATCAGGAACTATGACTGGTGGGTGGGGAAACTGTGGGGGCTGGCACTCTCCAAATCTGTGTAGGAAGAGGGCTTAAGGGAGCCCGCAGAGCCTCCTGTAAGCACCATTCCCATGTTTAACCACGCCTCTGTCAGGAAGTTCTCGTCTACTCTAATCCCCCTCCCCTTTCTCCATTGCAGGTCTCTGTGATGGAAAGTTTGGTGAGCCTTTAATTTCATGCTCCTGCATGTCTCTGTGTGTATGCCTGTGTTCATGTGCCATCCTGACCACCCAGGCTGTTTGGAAATGTCTGTCTGTGGGGACAGCTGTCTGGCTGAGGTCACCACGATCCCAGACTCTACATCAGTTGGTAAGGCTGGCTTCATCCCACTGAGCTTGGGCTTTTGTGCCTGTCTGCACAGTGCTGTGTTCTTTGAGTGCTGTATTCTAGATAAGAGAGTGTCAGGGTCTCTTCCCTCCTGTGAAATGGTCCTAAACTTCCCTCCCTTCACCAGTGCTCAGTGACAAACCCCTGTGCCTGGGTGCATTCTGCTTTGCTTTCTCAGCCATTGTCTCCCACTCTCACCAGTCCCCTCCACCAACTGAAGTCCTAGCCCTATGAGCAGGAGCTAAAGGATGCTGTGGCTGGCCCAAGTGGGAGCTAGCTACACAGGGACCTGACTAATCTTTTCGTAGCATGGGGTGGGGGGAGAGAGAGAACTAATTGCTAGCAGAAAACTCTTCTTTTTCTCCCTGAGTAAAGACTACATCTGCTAACCTCACATGTCTTTCAATCCACCTGGAACTTTGGTCTGTAACTCCAAGATATCATCTGAGCCATGCTTTGTGTCTCTCTCATCTTCCACCACCAACAAAGATGCAAGATGATAATCATATTGTGGTCTTCTCACTTCTCATGCTGCACTGCTCAAGCTATAGTCACCTGGATTCCTGATTCTATCTTCTACTCCTTGCCTCCTCCCAACCATTGTCATTGTGCACTGAGAAACCCAGTTCCTTATACTCTGTAATTGCAAGAAATGGATCCAAGCTCAGGTAACTTCATGTAAGAGAGATTTATTAAAAGATATATGGGGAAATAAAGGAGATTGGAATATTTTATTTAATCTAGACTTCTTATTGAAAAATATATGTGACTGTGGTAAAAACATGAAAATTAGGGCTGGCCTGTGGCTCACTTGGGAGAATGTGGTGCTGACAGCACCAAGCCAAGGGTTAAGATCCCCTTACCGGTCATCTTTAAACAAACAAACAAACAAAACCCCTCCCCCACAAAAATCAAAACCCCCAAAACAGAGAAATGCATTGTAAAAATTGTTTCTCCTTCAGTCTAGCTCACTAGTTTGTTACTCATTACATTCCAAAAATTGTACACACATAGGCAAACATACAAATGTGTGAATATATATGTGTACTTTTTAAATGCACAAATGGAGGTGCACATAGTTTCACATTTTTTAAAAATCTTTTTTCACTAACACTGTGTCTTGAAGCTCATTGCATATAGGTATTTATGAATCTGCCTCTTTCTCATGGCTACACCATATTTCGTTGCATGGCTGGGCCATAATTTATTTAATTCCTTATTGATAAGCATTTCATTTTCACCCTTTTGCTATTATAAAAGTGTATATACTACATTATAGATATTGTTCACATGTAAAAAGCAAACCCTCCTTGGGTCCTGGAGTGCTCCATTCACACAGCTGATGTCAAACATCACCAAATGTTAATGACTTCTGAATCTCCATCTCCAGCCCAGAACAGACCCTTAAGTTACATATAGACTCTAAATTGTGGATATCTCCACCTGGCTATGCCCAGAACACCTCATCTTAAGATTGGCACATTTTAATTTACCATATTTTCCCACAAATCTGCTTCTCCTCCTCAATTTTCTATCATCCTCGACTCCTGCCTCTCCTTCACTCTCCACCTCCACCAAATCTTGGAGTCTATATCATCAAGTCTTACAGATTCCGCTCCTTAGCGTCAAGCATCTCCACACCCTCCTTTCCACCTTACTACATTTGCTTAGCCAGTACCCTCCTCCCTGGCCCAGGCAATTGCAATGGTCTGACTTTTTCTCATCCCCTCTCATCCTTCTTCACACTGCAGCCTCAGGATCTTGAATGCAAATTTGATTGTATTACTCCCAGTCTCAAATCCCTCCTATTCTTTTCCATTGCTCTGGTGTAATTTGAATTCCTCTGATTACTGCCTCTCCAGCCATTCTGCAGAGTACCAGCAGTTCCCACAAGACTCTTGGATGTGCCTTTCTCATGTGGCTCTATCTTAAAATGGCATCTCCCTACCTCCCCCTTGACAGAGTTTGGATGTGTTGTCCCCACCAAAACTCATGTGGAAATCTGATCCCCAATGTGGTAGTGTTGGGAGCTATTTGAGTCATGGGGGTGGATCCCTCATGAATGGATTAATGCTCTCCCTGGAGGAAGGGGGCCTGAGTGAGTTCTTTCTCTATTAGTTCCTGTGAGAGCTGGTTGTTTAAAAGACGCTGGCACCTCCTCTCTCTCTCTCTCTCTCTCTCTCTCTCTCACTTCCTCTCACCATGTGATGTGCTTGTACCTGCTTCTGGCTGCTGCTTTCTGCCATGAGTAGAAACAGCCTGAGGCCCCTGCCAGATGCAGCTGTTCTGGAATTGTAAGCCAAATAAACCTCTGTTCTTTATAAATTACCCAGTCTCAAGTGTTCTGTTACAGCAACACTTAATGGACTAATACACCCCTCATACTGAATACTTACTTATTTTTCAGGATGAGGTCAAGATGAACTCCCCTATGTGGATCTCCTCCCCAGGAAGCACTGGCTGATTCCTCTCTGTGTCTCCTCTGTGACAGTTGTAATACTTTGTCATTTTCCTTGTCTATTAGGTTGTGAACCAGCATATACCTGTGCGTGGCCAGCATGTAGAAGGTGCTCAATGCATGTTTGATGAATGAATGAGTAAAAATGAAAATTAAATAAATCCTGTTTCTCTGCCTTCCATAGAACAAGTTCCTTTGTCAAAGTGGAGAAAACTCTGGCATACATATGAGTATCTAGACTCCCAGGTAGTTATCTATGTTACTGCTTGGGGAGGGAGTTTAAGCCAACACTTAGAAACCCAAGTGCTTTGTGGTTAGTGCTGATAGAGGGACCAGATTTGAGAACCTCGGCCTATGCTTGGTGACCCTAAGCTCAAGGAGTGATGGAAAGGAACCTATGATCCACAAAGAGGCTGATTACACCTGTGTTCTTCTGGATTGTAATGGTGATGGGATGGGGACCCTGCTATGAATCTTATTTCTACATTTCTTTGTTGTTATCCTCAGGCCTGGCTCCCACCCATGGTTTTGCCTCTTGAGGCTACCTAACACCTTCAGGGTCTGATTTGTGGGAGATTCAATGCTTGGGAGAGACCCTTGTCCCACCCCGTTAGGACAGAGAACTCAGGCTCAGGATGAGGACAGGACAGGGCGTCTGGATGGCTAAGGTGGAAGTGAAGCCCCTGCAGGGGACAGGTATTGGTGTGAGGCATTGATGCAGACTAGGCTTGGGAGAGCCTCTGAGCAGGGGTAGGAGGGAGTCTCCCTGGGTTCTCATGAGATCTGCATCTGAGCTGACACTGGAGGAGGGAGCTATTGAGTCAGCCTGGACTGGGGCAGGATGTGAAGTGTGAAAAAATGGCAACCTTTTCAGGAGGAATAAGATAGCTAAGTGGCTGGAGTAATTCCAGCTGGAACCAACATGTCTGTGATGAGGAGAACCCAATATATGGGATGGGAGGGAGAAGAAGGGAGAAGAAAAGGGAAAGGGTAGAGGAGAAAGAAGGGAAGAGAAAGGAAGGAAGAAGGAAAAGAAGGAGCAAGGGGTAAAGGGAAGCCCTGTCCTGGTCTGGCATGAAGGAATGCAGACAGTGACAGCTGCAAAGGTGCCGTCCAGGAGCCTCTGCGCCAGCAGGAGGCCTTGGGCTGGGGGACAGAGAAAAGTGGACTGACAGGATCTGCAGCTCCAGGGCTGACCTTATGTCTTGCAGTCTGGCCAAACCCCGTGTCTGGAGGAGGTGCCCTGGCTCTGTGGTGCCAGGGAAAGAAGCATGCAGCACTGTCCCAGGTGAAGTTCCACAAAGATGGAGAACTCTTTAGTTTCTCTAAGGACAACCAGCATCCATCCATGGAGACCACAATGGTGAAAAGTAGTGGCCAGTACAGTTGCACTAGGCAGCTGACACTGATCCCACACGTGTGCAAACAAACCTCAGAGACTGAGTGGCTCGAGTCAAAGATGAGTCACCAGCATGGGGCATTGATGGGGCACTAGGGGGCTACTCAGGGGTCCAGTAACTAGAGATGAGTAGGTCTCTGAGAAGGACCCTTCTCTCTGGCTGCCCCTCATGCTGGGCCAATTCATGGGGCCCTGACGTGTCCCATGATGCTGTCCAAATACTCCACCACCCCCAGCAGAAGAAGGGGGCTAGATGCCCTGGGGGCAGGGTCTGTTTGGAAGAGCCCTGGACAAGCCCAGCCACTCACCCTTCTCTGTGGACCAGATGACCCCTAAGGCCCCTTCTGGTTCTGACTTCCGGGATTCCAGGAGGGCTTGGCTGTTTGGGAGTCATTTCAGAGCTCATGGGTGAGGACAAGAGGACAGGTCCGGGGGATGAAACTCTTCTGTTTTGGTCATGAGATTGTGGCTTGGGATGTGCTGAAGCTCAGTCCTCAGCTTCCTAGGGCTTCATTGTCCAGGACTCTCTTCCTGAGCCCTGGCCCTGCATCTCCCCAGAGCTATTCCCACCTCCTGTGCTGAGCACTGTCCTCTCTCCTGAGCCCCATAAGGGGAGCCTGGTGACCCTGAGATGTCAGATAAAGCTGCATCTGAGAGGTTGGCCTTGAGGCTCCTGTTCTTCCACAAGGAAGGACACACCCTGCAGGATGGGGGCCTCCATCCAAACCCAGCATCCTGGGAGTCAAGGAGAGAGATTCTGGCCTTTACTGGTGCAAGGTAGCCCCTGAGGGTGGCTGGTTCCAGACAGAGCCCCGTGTGGATATCACAGTGCAGGGTAAGTGGCAAAGGGAGGGGAGACACTCCCCAGAGGTCTGGGCATCAGGTCCCTAAGGGAAGAGGGAGCCAGGGTGGTGTAGCTGATCGTCCTGCTGCATGTGCAATTTCAACTCCTGTGTCCTGTCCTCTGCTCACCTGGCAACACTTGCCCACTGGCTGTGCTGTGGCGGACGTGGTGGAGCTTCTCTGTGAGGCCCAGGGGGGCGCCCCTCTGATCCTGTACTTTTTCTACCTTGATGAGGAGATCCTGGGGAACGGCTCACTCCCAATTTCAACTCCTGTGTCCTGTCCTCTGCTCACCTGGCAACACTTGCCCACTGGCTGTGCTGTGGCGGACGTGGTGGAGCTTCTCTGTGAGGCTCAGGGGGGTGCCCCTCTGATCCTGTACTTTTTCTACCTTGATGAGGAGATCCTGGGGAACGGCTCACTCCCCATGGCAGAGCCTTCTCCTTCCTCCTCCCAATGAAGTCAGAGCAGGACTCTGAGCAACAGAGAACAGTGTCTCCAGAGAGACGAGTAAGCCCCAGAAGCTCTCCCTGCATGTGCCCTTAACCCCCACCCAAGCCTGCGCCCTGGGGGCTGGGACAACAGGTCGTCATCTTGGTACCTACAGCAGCCTGGCAGAGTGTGGGGAGCTTGGAAGAGGCAGACATGTTCAGCGAGAGGAATCTCAGGTCTCATGCAAATATGATTGAGGACAGCAGGGCCTAAGCAGTGAGATGGGCCCCCTTCTTACAATTACAGAAGTGTGGCTCCTTCTAGAGAACCAGTTTCCTCAGATCTCACTAACTCTGATCCATCTAGATCTTAGCCTGAGACATGGGCTGCTTCTCTCCTGCAGTTTGGCTGCGGGTATGTGTGTGGGGGCGGGAGGAGGTGTTGTGGCGTACTGAGACACACACAGGACGTGAATAGATGGAGGCAGACGGATCAAGGTCCTGTGTTCTGCTGGGCTGGGAAGACCTGCAGGGCCCACGCATCCTCAGTTTGGCCTTCATAGCTCTTGAGGCCTCTGGATGCCTTCTCCTCAGAGCTGGCTATGTTTCCTGCTCCCTATGTTGCTGGAGTTGGCCATTGACAGGGGTCAGAATGCCCCTCTGCAGAGGGGGTTCCACGGCTTCACAGACGGGGAGATTTGGGAGTCACAGGCCTCCTCTTGCCCAGGACTCCTCAGAGTGCCAGAGGGGGAAACAGCAGCTGTTCTGCCCAGGGGCTGCCTGAAGAGTCATGAGAGTAGCTTTGAGGCTTCAGAACCTGGCGTTGACTGTGACTTTGACACAGTGTTCTTGCCAAACAGTCCAGCAAAGCTGCAGGACTGCTACTTTCCATGCCTGGGGATCTCTTATCCAATAAGGGGAAAAGGTGGCATGAGTCTGAGTCGGCCTAGTCTGTCAGCTCCCCCGTGTCTTTCTCTGGCTCAGCGGGACTGCGAGATGTCTTTCCCTCCTCACTGAGAGCCAAGTGCACCCCGGCCCCCTCCTGCAGCCCAGGGTACCATGAGCAGCACAGCCAGCTCACAAAAGGGCTCACTGGCCAAGGGCACATAGAAACCCTGCTAGAGCCCTCACCCTTGGTTTTTGCCCCAGAAGTCTTATTTCCCAGCAGCGTTACTGTCAGTGAAGGGTTGCAGTCAGGAGTCTGCTGGTACCTGCACTTGTGATTTTATTGGTTGGTTGGTTCCTTCATCCTTCTCACCTTTTTCTAAATATGAATTTTATGTGTTGTATAGTAAAGAACTAACCTTCCCAAAGAGAGGTTGGCCTTTGCCTTCAGCTCCTGGGAGGTGAGCTCTAGGCCCTTGGAATGTCCTGTTTGATAGGAGTGTCTGTATTTGCCTAGGGGCGTTGGCCATGAGGAAGTCCAACAGTGTGATTTATGATCGGGGCTTTGGGCCAAGCAGTATCATCTCTACCTCCAGAGGGACTGGAGACTACATGTGACAGTCCAGCCTTTGGAAGGGCTAGAGACTAAAGGTCGGCCACATGGATGGTGTTGATCTGGCCTCAATAAAAACTCTGAGGCCTGGATAGATGCTCCTGGTTGGAAATACTCTGGTATATTGTCACTCATTGATGCCGGGAGAGTACAGGTCTTAACCCCATGGGAAAGGCCATACTTGGTACTGTACTTCTCCAGACTCCTATGTGCTTCTTCCCAGGCTGACTTTAATTTGTATCCTTTCCCTATAATTAACTATAACCATGAATATAACATCTTTCAGTGTGTTCTGTGAGTCTTTCTAGCAAATTATTGAAACTGGGTTTAGGAGCCCCTCAAACTTGCAATTGGTATCAGAAGTGAGGGCCGTCACGTGAGGACTCTGTTCTCTCTAAGTGTACACTAAACTCTCCCACATGTCTTACAAAATGTACACAATGTGGCAAGATAAAATACCAATTAGTCAGAAAAAATGAAATTAGAAGAAAGTAGAGTAGGAAAATTGGAGCGAGGAAGAAGGTCAGTATCCAAATGGCACGCTTTAGTGTTCTATCCGGGACTATCGGAGGACTACAAACACAGCCCTCTGCTTTCCAGCAGCAACACTAAAAGGGCAATGCAGGCTACGATGAAATCACAGGACTGCTCAGGGAAGTGGCCCTGCTGTTCCTCCCACTAGGAGGTATTTCTTCTCAAGAGGACACTGGGTGATGATTATGAACAGCATCTCTAGCCACATCTTTTCCATAGCCCCATTGAATATTCCTACTTTATACCCTTCCACACAGGCTATGGGCGTAGCTGCAAAGCATTTCAGTGGGGCAAGTCTGCATGGTCCCTGTAGTATGTGGCTTGGGCTTCACCTTTCTGATAATCCAGTTTAACTGGGATTAATGATTCTCAGTGGGGCACCCCCTGCAACTTTGAGGACCTCTGCCAGAGAGAGCCATGATTACGTGTGGGAGCATATGGCATTTTTTATTTCATGGTTTGAAGGCTATAGAAAGGTGATAAACACTATTTTAAAGGATTTTGAGTGGAGTGGGGGAATTTTGTTTAAGGGAAGTCTTTTTTCCCACAGGAAATCTTTTCCTATCCCCAGTGTATAAATGGCTGAAATTCCAGCCATTCTAGTTGAAATGAAGTTGGAAATTAGGGAATTCCACCTGCTAATGCTGCCTCATTTCTTTACCCATCTGTAACCCCTGAGCAGAGAGACTCCACAGAACTCCTAGGGCTCCACAGAGTTCCCTTGGGGTTTAAGCAAAGTGCTGAGATGGGCTACACCCTCCAGCTTCTACCAGAACAGTCCAAGTTTCATTGTATTAGGTTTCTTGTAATATTTCCTTTGAGGAAAATTGCATGAATATCTTTTAAAAGTTCAGCAACCCCTGTTGTAGAGGAAGGACTAGACTGTAAAGCCTTTAGGTAATACCTCATCAGGTGAGCTTTTGAAAAGTAAAGTTAGGAAC